AGCTTGTTTTATTTCTGTATTCTCCTTCCTTAGTTCTTGCATATTTCCCTACAAGTCCATCAGCATGGTTATGACTTTTGTTTTGAATTCTTTTTCAGGAAGACTGGTTAAATTTATCTCCCCAGGTTCCTTCTCAGGGGAAGATGTAGCAGATGCCGAAGCTGTCTGGGTTAGTCTTGTCTGGATCATATTTTTTTGCCTTTTCATGTTGATAGGTGCTATTGACTGTCAGCTGGGGTGGGGGCAAACTTTCCACTTGCTACTGGCCTTTCTTTACTGGGACAACTGCGACCCCTAGTGGCTTGTGTTGGGTAATTGCGTGTAGACTGGGTCTTGGTGTCTTGCCTGGCCGGTATGGAGGAAGCTCCCTTTCTGAGGGCGTGGCCAGCCTTAGGCTGCTTCTCTGCTTTCCCCTCACCCCAGTGGGGTTATGGACAGGGGGCTGTTTGGCTGTTTACCTCCATGAGGTTTCTCAGAGCTGTTGCCCAGGGGATTAGTGCGCCTGGTTTTCCCTGTAATTTCCGTCTACTGGACTGTGACCTGTGTTGTTTCCATCCAGCTGTTGCGTCCCTGTCCCTTTAAGACTTTCAAAAAGCACTCACTTTTCTTTGTCACAGGGGCATCAGCTTCAGGACCCGCTCAGAGGTCTTGCTGCCCTGTTTCCCTAGTATCCAGGACCCCACGCATGCACTGTGTCTGCGCTCTGGTGCGGGTGGCTGGGGCTGGGTGTTCAGCAGTCCTGGGCTCCCTCTCCCTCCCTGCTCTGACTTCTCTCCTCCCGCTGGGAGCTGGGGGAAGGGGTGCTCGGGTCACGCCGGGCCGGGGCTTGTATCTTACCCCTTTCACCAGGCGCTGGGCTCTCGCACATGTGGATATAGTCTGGCTGTTGTCCTGTGTCTTCTGGTCTCTCTTTTAGGATTAGTTGTATTTGTTGTATTTTCAAAAATATATATGTTTTTGGGAGGAGATTCCCACTGTCCTACTTACACCGCCATGTTGGCTCCACCTCTGACTTTCCTGGCTTTACTTTTGAATTGTTTTTTGACCCACTGAGTGTGTATGTTGCTTGAAAAAGCTTTTGCCCTTGGTGGAAATGGGAGTTGGGTAGGATGGGAATCAGGAGGTGCTTTCAGGTTGGAGGTGGAGGACAAATTCCTGATGCCAGGGCACTATGCAGCTCTGGGTAATATGAAACCTGAGATGTGTGCTAAGAAAAACAAAGGCCAACAAATTTAAAAATCCATTTTGTCTAGTCACCTATCCATCTCTTCCTATAGGAAAGATTTACTAAGTACACTCTGCTAGATGCCAGAGACTCAGAGAGGAATCAAACAGGAACCTGCCTCCAGGGGCTTCTGCTCTTAGGTCAGAGACCAACACTGGCCTTCTGTCTGGACTCAGGACACAGAGCCCCTTACCTCTGGGGTAAAGGAGAGAGAATGGAAGGTCTCACCCAGGAGGATCTGGTTCAGTTTATTCTTTGGTGAATAAGTATTTACCAGCTAAACAAAGGGGCTGGGAGAACATTTTAGAGAAGAGGGCATGTGCATAGGCTAGGAGACAAACACAGTATGTTCCAGAAACTGGATAGCGTACATCTGGAGGGGTGGCTCTATGAGGCTGGGAAGAGACACAGCAGGACCAGGAAATACGATGGGAGCTTGAAAAGCAAATGTGGGCACCTTGGTCAGAGTAGCTGCCAATACTGCATGCTGCCAGTACTGCCCCCTAGTGGAACAGGGGTGGGAGAAGGCAGCGGGAAGCCCCACTGCTGGAGAGGCCCCAGAGGTGGACAGACTGGAATGAGTGCGGACCTGAGAAGCCTGTGGCAGAACCTGGGCCAGGAGGAGCATGATTTGAGCCCTCAGGAAAGGTGCCCTGCCTCCAGATCCTTTCATCACCAGCTGCAGTTTCATCACTACAGGATCTTTTATTTGGCCAAACTAGAGTTGTGTTAAATGCATTCTGTTCAGGAGAGGGGTTCTCCTGACCTCCTTCTTAGATGTTGCTATGTGTGCTTAGAGCAAATGCATAAGCTGGGGGGTGGGGTGGGGGTGGGCGGGCTTCAGAGAAATTCCAATGAGGGCATAAGGGGAAAGTCCTGATTAAGAAACACTGCTCTGGGTTCAAAGTTTAGGGTGCTTTGAAATGACTGCACTGTTGCAGGAGGGGGAAAGCTTGAGGGCCGTAGGTGGTGGTGGGGAGGCAGGGATGAAAAGGGGAAGAAAAACTCCAAGGTCTGGGAAACAGATGCATTATTATCCAAGCTGGCCTCAAGCATGCTAAGCATTGTTTTTGCTAATGGCAGTTGAGAAAAGTTGGTCTGCACAGCAGAGTATGGGCTTTGGAGTCATACTTGGAACTGCATTTTTCTCATATGACCCTGATCAGGTTTTTCAACCTCTCTGTAAATGGTTTTGATATTTTCTTCATGACATTTTAATCATTTAATGACCCAAAGTAGATACCCCATAGGTGGTGGTATTTATTCACCTTTATACACCTCACACAGCATGTAGCCCCAGTAGGTGATCAGAAACGTCTTAGGCAAGCAGGGAACAGCCCCTCACTCCAGCAACACGAGCAGTTAACTGCTACTCACAATTCTAAATGTGGAACTTAGATTTTCTCAGAGGTCCATTCCTAGGCTCTGATGCAGGCTGGGTAGCCCAGGTGTTTCTAGGTCTAGATGAACAACTGGCAAAATCCACACTGACTTTGACCTATAATGAAGACTGGCTACCTTTTCGCTTTTTCAATGTTTGCTTATAACTTTATGTTGTTGGAATCTCAGTGCCTTTGAGTAGCATTTTACTTAAATTCTAAGCCAAACTTCTAAGCTATAAGTTGGAAGCTTATAGAGCCAATTACAGAGAAATCTATATTCATTTAAAAGCTACTATTACTGGTCAACAGGCCTTTCCTGGCTATCACCAAAACTGCAGGGAAAACAATTTCCTATGGGAACAGGATCCAGATGTGTACTTGTTGATTCTATCCTGGACCCATTATTAATACCGTTCCAGCAAAGGGGCCTGGACTCAAAAGGTGGGTCTCATTTAGTGTTTGAGCAAATGATCTGTGGGATAAACAATAGCTCAGTTACTCTGGCTTCTCTCTTGTAAGGACAGCCCACACCCCTTGCAAATGAGGCAGCTGGAATGAGAAATGCTTTTTTTTTTCTCCCCTGATTTTTATTTTGTGTGAGGATTCCCATTATGTATCTCACCAAGTTACTCTAGTAAGAGCCAATTTCATACATATGCATAAATGTATAAAACCACTTGAGTGGGGGATAATTCTAACAATGTTCAAGAATAAGACAATTCTAGTCATGTCATACATGCCAGAAGTGTAAGAACAAGGTTTCAAATGTCCACATTTTCCTAAAAACAAACCTATGCCTTCCCATCTGTTTAAAATCATTAGCATCTGGAAGAATATAATGTAAAAATGTTGAATTTTGAATTTAAGGGTTACCTTTTTTCCCCGCAGTAGAGATACAATTGTTCTAAGCTGTTGAGAAATAGACTTTCTAGAATGTTTCTGGGTCAACCGCGAGCCAACCTGAGTGAACAGCAGCAGGGACCCGAGCCCTTTCTGAGATCTGGTGGTGTGCTTCCCTCTGCTTTTCTCGTTCTTGTTGTTGCTTTTTTCCTGTTATTAACTAGCCAACACATTGGATAAGTGCACACACACAGTTTGTTGTACTAAATTTTATGTTTGAAAGCATGGAATGTTTTAAATATCTTCAAAGGGAAAAAAGCTTAAACTGAAAGTTAAAATTATCTGCAAGATAATTAAACAGGATTAACTGGATCCATAATATAAATTAGGGTAAATCAGGAGGTACGACAAATAAGGCTGAGCCTGTAAGAGCTAACAAAATATAAGATTCTAAACAAAGGAACACATCGTCCAAAGCCAAGTTATTCTGACTGTAACCTTTAGTATGTATGTGAAGGGATGAAGTATGGTAGATTGACTCGTTGCACACTTTATGTGAGACCACAACACCAGGGTTGCTGACCGAGTTAGTTCCCCACAGTCCTGTTCAGCAACGTCAGCGGGCAGCGGTGGAATGCTAGGCATTCAGGCCTCACTCTGAGGCAGTGTCTGACAGGTCGCATAGTGGCACAGCACCTCGGTCCTGGCTGTCTCTTGGCAACGCCTTAGTAAGAATCCCCTGGGATTCCAGAACTCAGTACATCTGGAAAACTGGTACATTAATTTGCCATCTACGAGGTTCATTCTATATGTTAAGGCCAAACTAGTGTATCAATTTTCTTCTAAACCCATTAAGCTAAATGAACAGTTAAAAAGCATGAACCCTCATAAAGCATCTAGTTTATGCTAAGGCCCAACACTGCTACCTCAGACTTTATGTGTAATGACATCAAAGGGTAGTGACCACACACAGATAAAATTTGAACAAGAATTTATTTCTTAAGGTTACCCAAAGGATTAGAGATGATATATAAGAAAACATTTATGGTAACATTTAGAGTTATGTCAACATAAAAATGATAGTTGTGGTTACAATTAGCACATGCAATTCACTGCAAAGGTAAAAATACAATACCGTAGACAAGCCTCCTATATGAAGTTACATTAGATGGTGGTAAAATAGCCAAGTGAAAAAGATTGCACTTACAAGTAAATGGGACACATTAACTAATGCTAATCACTGTATTGTAGTACTAGCAAATTGCACACATTTTTAAGTATATTATTCAGTATACATAAAGACTAAAGAATTTTCAAATATCCACCTTTAAAATATCCCTTTCTTTCCAATACATCACATAACAGCATTTAAAACAGTTATCATTCAGATAAAAATTGTGTTTACAGGGTAAAAGATCTGAAACACCTGCCACCACTGGCCTTAAATGAATATTCATCATGATCTGCCAACATTAAAGACCATGTGGCTAATGAAGTTAAACTAACCCGTTTGGGTGAACTACTGACTACAAAAAGCCATTAAAAATTTAGGAATAAATGGATAACAGATCACCCAGAGCTGCCTTCTTATTTAAATGCACTCTATACTAAAATATCATGCTGATGCACATGCTAGTAGAATTCCAGAAGGTATCATTTGGCTCTGGAAAGTTTAAACTTACATGAGTTCTGTTTATAAACAGTCAGAAAAGGAACTGCTGCCAAGAACCAGTTCAAAGAATTAGACTAGGTTAGCCAGTTTATACCACCTTTGAAATCTGTGACAATGCCTGATTTTAGGCTAAACTTAAATACCTTGCTATTTTATGGCTTTACATAATCTTAATTTATAGAAAAGTGCAAAAAAAAATTTTTAAGTAATCTTACCTGGGCAACAGAATCTAACATGACCTACAATAAAAAAGTTATAATTTTAAGTTTTATGTAGTTTATTATTTTTACATTTGACCCATTTCAGCAGAACTAGTGAAACAGTAATATATGGTTTAGAAATTTGTTCTTAAAACCAGAAAGAGGAGATTGAGGAAGCGCTCTCCTACTTGATATGTAGTCAGTATATGCCAGTTAACAGACACATTTTAGGGAATTCTATAAAATTATTCAACTACATATATGTCATGATTTTAACGAGTTAACTGTGGAGAGAAAAAAAACATCTTTAAAAATTTTTTAAGTTTCTATATATAAAGCTATTTTAGATGTTCTACTTTGAATGAGCATCCATAAATGTTTTAAAAGTTCATTTCAACATCATTAACCTTTACCTTCACAGTAAGCTAGGATCATTGGATGATGTTGTGTGCAATCGCTTATCAAGGAATAAGGCTGAAATGAACTGAATTAGGTAGAGAACAGATGTGAACACAGAACATGGGAATGCTTTTTCCTCTGCTTTTACATGCTGGGTATATTCCTGAGTGCTGACTGATCTATGTTAAAAAAGGACTAAACTTATTTGAATGGGTTGGAAGTTGGATAGTTTTCCGATAGTTTCTCAGCATTATGCCTTTATAGGGACAAGGGTGGGACACCAAAGAAAAGAGTAACAGTCAAATTACAACCACACTACATGTAATATATGCTTATTTTCATCTTAAAAGAGGGCAACTCCATTAGAAGCAGTGAGTTTTGTTCAGAAAGAGGCTGCTCTGTTGTGCTAGCATTACTTTAAATTTTCAGTTATCAGATGTTTACTCATTAAATCTTTAACTTACACATACAGTTAATTTTCACATAAACCAGATTTGTTTTTCTGCCTATCTAAAATACAGTTTATATACACTGAAACAAATTATTCTGAGACATGCCTTGGGCAAGTAATTTTGTACTTAGAACCTAAGTTTCATGATTGTATTTCTCTTTTTGGGCAAAGACATATATTACATATTAGTGATCAAACACACATTTCCTGAATAGATTTTTGCAGTGACCATATCCATTTAGTATATCTAAAGTGCTCTTGTGGTAGGGGGATATTCACTCACTGCACCATGGTCTATACAAGTTTCAACATACAAATGCTTTTATCATTTTCTTATTTAAATGACTCTTCATTCTCATTCCTTTAGAGATCATGAGTTCACATTTTATAACTGACCTTCAGCACCCATGTACAAACTTCCATGAGAATGTTACCAACACTACTTGTTATGAGGAAGATAACAGCTAAATATGATTACAAAATATGACTACTTATTTTGAGGAAATGAAAAATATAAATTTCTTAACAGACATTAACAATATAAATGAAGTACTGATTTTGGACTAGCCTTTGATTACGAACTTAAATGGTGCTGACACTATTATCCTGTACTGTGAATTTGGGGTCTCTGTTCGTGCTTGTTAATCTCTGAGGCCTATTTCCTTATTCTGTCATTCTGCCAATCTCATGGTGGTTTTGCAGAACTTGGATAGGTCAGAATAAAGCATCTGCTCTGTCTCAAAAAGACCATAAAAATGAAAGAACTCAAAGTATTAGGCAAGAATAGAAGTAAAGTGTAACAGGAAATCTAATGTGAACAATATTCTGAGAGTAATGAGCAGACTTTATATTTCAACTATAAATATATACCAATTTTCTTAATCTTTTATTCAATAACCTCTACAAACTACTTCAGATTTGTCTAGTTTCCAACTTAAACCTGACAGAAAACCAAAACCTTGATAGCAGTTGTAAAGACTAATGACTTATGACAACTTTTTACTCAGCTCCTACCTTTAGACCCGCCTCCTCATCAAGCACGCTGGATATGCTATGGAATAAATAAATGCAAGAGCGTGTTTAGTGCTAAACTCTGGAGGCCTGGCTCACTTCTCTGAAGAACAGAGTATATGGGAAGAGGTCTAAGATATTCCTAAATCACAATGTAGAACTAAGTTCCACCTACCTTAGAACTGGCAGATTAAAGTACTAAGTGCTTCTACAGTAAGGATATTTGCTAAATGTGGTATTTACTAAGCTTAATATGCACATTTTGGGGTTATGTTTTGTTTGCTTTGCCACTGGTCACTGCCCCAGTCTTCTTAGTTTGGCTTCAAACATCTGGTAGAAAACAATTTCCATCTTGGTCTACTTAAAATTCAAAACAAAGCACATGAAAACATTTCAAGCTGAAGACAAAGTGCTTCATCAACTAAATTTTCTGAAGTCTTAAGAAGGGTCAATAATGTTTATATATACACATACAGAAAAATGTTAACAATTTAAGCTTTTATAAACTACAAAGAATTTTTTAAATGCTTAAGAACTTTTGTGGCATTCATTCCCAGCTCTATCTGGGTACTCTGTTGAGTTTGTGAAATAGATTGTCAAAGAAGTTGTCAATAAAGACAACAAATATTTGAAAATTTAGTTAAATGTAATACTTAAAGATCAGTATTTTTCATTTGCCAAATTAAAACTCCAGAATGCCTTTTTTCCAGTAACTGACAGCATCATTACCAATGGAAGAGAATGAGTTGGTATGATTATAAATGATTCCAATTTTTTAAAAATCAGGTAACAAATGCTGGGTTCATCCAGTTACACTGTCCAAATCTCTTTTTAAATTAGGTTTTCAGCTGAAGTAGAGGGTTTAAACCTTGCTCCTTTAACTTTTTTCTTTTTTATGAACTTTCCCCTAAGCCACTTTGGTAACAACTGTCATTAAAATCAGTATAGCTGTGCTAAGTCTATCACTGCTTATTACTGAAATACCCTCTGATTTCTAGGTAACAAAACAAAAGCTGTTTTTACTTTACAGCTTTCAGGCAAGCTTTCTGTTTTTCTTCAGTGCAAACATCCTGAAACAGCACAAAGTCATTCAGCTAGTCAGAGGATGAAGTCAGTTTATGTAGTGCTTAAAGTAGAATCCCAGATATTCTGGAATAGAAATAGCCCATGTGGGAGGGCAGTACATTTTATGTCCTCCAAGAAAATGATCATTTTCAGTGAGTGAAGATTATTTTTATCTGAAATCACAGATATTTTTAGCTTTACAGGTACTGCTGAAGTTATAATAGGGACTAGTCTTTCACTGAGGCACGTAGCCACCTTGTCTCACAGTCTGTGGTAAATAACTTTTAGGCATTTCTTCATCAATCACAGCCTCCATCCCAACTGCTTCAAATCTCTCTACTTGTCCCTCAGTACCTGGACCAAAAGGATCTGCTGCAGACACTTCTTGAAACATTTTCATTTCCCCAGATCCATAGGACTGTGGAATAGGATCTGAAATTTGCTGCTGTTTAAGTCTAACAAGATCTTCATTGACTGAAACTTGCTTTGACCTTTCAAAGTCTGAAATATCTGGACTGGTTTCATGTTGACTGCAGTTTTGCTTGAAATACGGTTGCTTGGGCAAAATGCCATCACTGCTATCTGCTAGCTGTAGCTCTTCCAGCCGCTCTTCGGAATCTAACAAGGGCTGGGTGGACTCGGATCTTGAAAAGACTTGAACTGATGGCACCTGGTGTCTGTAGCCACTATGTACCACAGTGGAATACTGGACAGTGCTTGAAGTGTTTTGGGCAGATTCATTTTCATCACTGCTAGAAATGCTTGGCCTAGAAGATGACATGCACGAAGACCCTCCAATACCACTACTGTGTCCTTCAGTACTAATTTTTTCTTTCTTGAAGAGGTCCAATGATTTCAGATCTTCTGGAAAAGGCTTTTTTTCATTTGCTTCTATTTCCACAACACTTACATCCGTGAAATTGCCATCTGAGTACATATGATCTTTTGAATTAAAATTATGCTAAGGAAGAGAGAAAACTGATTATTGCCTATGGACCATGTTTATTTAGAAACCATGAAATAAGTATGCATCTATGGCAAATGTTAAAGCTGCAGAGATAATCTTGACCACTAGAACACTATCAACTACCTGAATTGCAGGTATGAAATGATTCTAAGTATTAATCAAGCTTTATTTCCTCAAAATTCCAACTAAATATTGTTAGTATCTGCAGGCCAGTAGCTTATCAAAATATATTTCATGCTTAAACTAGGTAGGCCTAGGATTAACTCTATAGAAAAGCTAGGAACATTTTCATGGAATATGATATTCAAGGACTATTATAAAGTAATATAGAAGTTAATGAATACAAATTATTTCTCCTTTAGGAAATTCAAAGAGTTTAGTGTAGATTTCCAGAAATTATTTCATCAGTGTTAAAATGGCAGACTTGATTTTTATAGTCAATCCAAAATGCTTACAACAGTATTAACACTGTTTCCAATTTGCAAGTTCATTTTTTGTTTACTGAACATAATTAGGAATATTGGAACAAATAACACTACGATAAACTCCCAGAATTTGTATGTATTATTTTAAATTTTGATTAAAATTCTCATTTATGTACTACTTGTTTTCATTTACTTTTAGATACAGTTTTACTTTTTGGTTGAACTCTAAAATATACAAGAGACTTTAGGATACATTTGTAAACAAGTCAGGAACATTTTCTCTTACCCTTAAAGGTGTGTGAGGTGACCACTGGGCAATATGACTCTTTGAAGGATCTGGAACATTAGGCCAGATGTGTTTTTTAATTCTAGAGAGAAAAGAATCACATGTAATAAACAATGAATAGTCCCTATTTCTAAACACATTCCCATCTAAGTATCTAAAGAACCAAACCAATTAAATAAATACTGCATCTCAAAGCCAACAATTTTTTTTGTAATCAATAGAAACATACTGTTAAAAATGCATAAGATTCTTCATCTAGTTATAAGAAAAACTGTTAACAAGGCTAAAGCTAGCAACCAGTACTCAATTAAAAAACCTCTGAAATAAAATTACACAATAAAAACTACTTAAACTTTGACCAGGTCACAAAACATTGTGGTGCAACCCCTCCCAACCACAACAAAAATGTTCAACTTCCAACTAAAAGAATCTAGATTATAAATTTGATTATTCACAAAGAAGAATAGTAGATAGTATTAACAATAATTCAGGATATCCCCATCATCGAAAACCTACTTAAGGTAAACATAGTTCCTAGTCCAAAGTTAGAGGTCCTTATGTATAAAGAAATATAAGAAGTGAGTCATCCTGAAAATGTTCAAATATAAAAATTAGGAGTAGTAAGATCCTACCAAACTTACTCTCCTGTAGGAACAACTATAAAATCTGGACAAAATGTAAAAAGCAATAAGTTAATGACCTAGACTAAGAGCAGCCAATCAATAGACGAATTCCTTGAAAGACACAAGTTACTAAAATAGACTGAAAAAGAAAAACATTGATAGCCCTTTACATGTAAGAGAAATTGAATTTTTAATTAAAAATCTTCCCACAAAGAAAATCTCAGACCCAGATAGTTTCACTTGTGAATTCTATCTAACATTTAAAGAGGAAATAATACCCATCCTACAGAGACTCTCCCAGAAAACAGAGGAAGTAACACGTCCCCATTAATTTTATGAGGTAATCAGTTATTACATTCTTTCCAAAACCAGATACCACAAAAGACAGACCTCTATAATCATGAACAGAGTAGTCCAGCAAAATCCAAGCAATGCAAGGATAAATAAAACTCTCAAGGATACATGAAATTCAAAATAAAATTCAAGGAAGGGGAAAAATCAATACTATCATCACAATAGATGAAAAAAAGCATTTGACAAAATTCAAGACCCATTCATGACAGAACTCTCAGCACAACAGAAATAAGAGCACTTCCTTAACTTATAGATATCACACACAATGGCAAAAGACTGAATGCTTTCTTCTCTAAAATCAGGAATAATGGAAAGATGTTGGTTCTCACCACTTCTATTCCACATTGTACTGGAGGTCCTAGCCAGTACAGTAAGAACTAAAAGCATAAAGATTGGAATAATCATCTTTCCTTGCAGACAACACATTGTATATATATATATGTAGAAGAGCCAAATGAAGCCAAAAAGCCACTAGAGTAAATTAATTTACCAAGGTCTCAGTATACAAGATCAATTTACTAAGAAAATCAATTGCATTTCTATTTCCAGTGATGAACAATAAAAAATATTAAAATTCCACTTACAATAGTATAAAAAATACCTAGGAATAAATTTAATGTAAGATAATACAAGGCCTGTCCACTGAAAACTACAAAACACTGCACAAGGAAATTAAAACCCAGATAAGAGATATACAATCTTCATAGATTAAAAGACTCATGTGGCTCATGAACATGCGCACTCATGTTCAGATTGCATTTTCCCCTAAACTGATCTGTAGGTTCAATAAAATCCCAATCAAAATTTTAGTGGCTTTTTTAAGGGAAATTGATAAGCTAATACAATTTATAAGAAAAGTCAAGAATCTAGCCAAAATAATTTTGGAAAAAAAAAAACCTATTAAAGGAACCCCACTACCTGCCCTCAAACATTACTATAGAACTATACTAATCAAGACAGTGTGATAGTGGCAAGAATAGACATATGCAACAATGGAACAGAATCAAGTGTCTACCAATAGAGCCAGACTTAAATGGACAATTATTTTGGGAAAGGTTATCGAGGTAATTCAACAGGAAAAAGATAGTCTTTTTCAATAAATGATGCTGGTACTAAACATCTGCAGAAAAAAAGGAACTTTGATCCTGACCTCACACCATAAGCAAAAATTAATTCTAAATAATCATATAGAGCCAAAATGATGAAACTTCTAAAGGAAAAATAGGAAAACATATTTGTGATACTGGGTTAGGCACCACTTTAAAACACCTGATAAAATAGACTTCATCAAAATAAAGAATTTTTGCTTTTCTAAGTCATAGTTAGTAAAACAAAAGCAAGACCAGGATTTGCAAAACACATATTTGAAAAAAATTTATAGTTTAATGTTAAAAGGACACACAAGCCCATTTAAAATTGGCCAGAAGATTTCAGAAGATGTATCATGAAAAATATATAAATGGCACATGGAAAAATCCATTATCAGTTAGTAGGGAAATGGAAATTAAAGCCACAATGAGGTAGCACCACACACCCATGACAACAAATGGCTAAAATTAAAACCCTGAGAATACCAAATGTTGATGATAATAGGGAACAACTGACATTCTCACACTACTGATGAGAATACAAGATGATATAAACACTTTGAAAAAGTTTGACAATTTCTTATAAAGTTAAATATGCAATTACCATATGACTCAATAAACCCACTACTGGGTATTTATCCAAGATAAATAATATGCCCACATAAAGATTTCTTTGTGTATGTTCATTACATTATTCATAATAGCCAATAAAAAAAGAATACCCTAAACTTCTGTAACTGATGTATGGATAAATTTTTATTTATCTATACTATAGAATATTATCCAATAAGAAAATATTACTATATGTAACAATATAGGTGAATCTTAAAAATACACTATGCAAAAGACATCACACACAAAAGACTATATGAAATCCTGGAAAAGGCAAAATTATAGCCAACTCCTGACCCCATGATTGCCTGGGCCGGGGACTGTGGAACAAAATAGACTACAGAACAGAATAAGAACACTTTTTAGAGTGGTGGAAATGTTTCCTATCTTGACTGTGATAGTAATTCTATGTCCACATACAGTTACAAAAATTCATCAAACCACATACTTAAAATGGAAGAATTTTATTGTCATATAAATTATAGCTCAATAAACCTGGGGGAAAATGCAAAAATAAGAGTGAGAGGGTACTTACAGGTCTCGCTTATTAAAGCAGAACAATACTCCCAAAAGGGTTGTCAAAAGGAATGCTAAGCAAACAGGCACAACTATGGCTTCAATTTCTCCTTGGGCTAAAAAAACAGAAAGGGGTAAGAAGGAAAATAATTGTTGACAAATATATTAAAGAAAAATAATGCAACTTCCCAACCAGGTCACTCAGTTAGGATGAAATATCACCCTAATCTCTTGGCAGGCCTTTTCAAACTTAAAGGTTGTTTTCCCCCCTGGTCTTTTTTCTTGGTAAATCATATCCTAGACACTTATGCCTGACACAGTAACTTGGCCACATAGTAATAGCATAAAATGTAGGTTGGTTGGGGGAATAAAAATGATTAGTTCAGTTTATTGGATAGATCATCTACTCGGTAAGTTAAGATACTTTCAAACCTAACTATTTTATATTACATTTATGATCTGTACTGAGTAGAGTCTTAGCAGAAGCTTATCTTTGAGTTCTATGAGTACTGGATAGAAAGGAAAAGTTGTTAAGACAATCTTAGTAATTATCTTACAGATGTAAATAAACTTCAGGAATAAAAATGTAACACTCAAGCAATATTGTAATAGTCATTTACTATTTTCAAAAAGACAGGGCTGATTTAGGGGTAAGAGTTTTAAGAGAATCTTAATGGGTACAATGAGTGGCAGAAGTAGGAATATCATTTAAAAAGCAACAAGCCTGAGATGCCTAAATACCATTTTGAATCTCTATCTGCATTTAAAAGAGGGCTTATGATCAAATGAATCACTAATTGGGACAATTTATATTGGAAATATTTTTAATGATTTACCTTATGGTTGTTTCTGGTTAACTCTTTCAGCCTTCTTTTTAATTAGTCTTTTACAGGAAAAAAGTAATACTATAATTATATACTATTCACTTTATCATCTTTTCACTATACACATCCCTTTATAAGTAATTCTACGAAGCCTAATAGAAATCAAGAAATCAGATCTATGCGTAGAATAAACTACAGGTCAGAAAATATTTATTTCCAAATGCTAACATTCTCACATATATGACAATCAAATTCAGGCAGACTGGACTGATGTTAAACTTATTGTTTTTATGCCTCAGGCCTTTATGCTTTGTTGCTCTAAGATGCATTCTTCCTGTCTTCAGCTATCCACATCCTAACTTCAAGGCTCAAATACTGTCTCCTCCACAAAATCTTCTTTGAAGGTCAAACTATATTCTGCTCCCGCCACCAACTGTTATCTTTAAATTCCTTCTCTACTCTCTATATGGCCCAAATGGCTGTTTTGTTTACTTATACTACATAACTTCATAAACAATAGGTCAGTTTTGAAAAAAGCAGATGACGAAGTAATACTAGTAAGTATGATTAAATTCTGGAAAAAATGTATGCAAGGAAAAGACTAGAAGGATATACAAATATATTGAGATTATTTTGGATGAGGGATTAGGAGTGACTTTTCTTCTTTGTATTTTAGTCTAAATTCCCTATAATAAATATGACTTAAATAATTGGGATATTTTAAAAGTTTATTATTTTTATTTTCTTAAAGATCATGGCACAAAGTTTTATTTCAAGTATTTGTTAAATACACATTAACATGCATATATATATATATCTTAACATAGGTATTACATGTCACTATATGTAGTCATCCAGTCTCTCTCTTGACCCAGCTGTAGAAGAGAGGTCCACCCAACCTCTGTGGTCACACCCTTGTAATTACCTATTGATATGGAAATGGCATAAATCTCTCCACCCCTTGGAAACACTTATTGATATGCAGATACACTAAAGCCAGGCGAGAGATTTTGGAAATACTACTGTTTTACCCACAGCCCACCTCTCCAGAAATCTCGCCTCACAATCTACACGTTCCCCATCTTCCGCAATGGTCCCTGTGCGAGAAAACTGGAGAATTTCAACCAGGTTAATAACATAAAATAGCAACAGCACTAATCACAATTGCATCAAAAAGAATACAATACTTAGGAATACCTAACCAAGGAATTGAAAGACCTATATCCTGAAAACTACAAGACACTCTTAAGAGAAATTAAAGGGGACACTAACAAATGGAAACTCAACCCATGCTCTTGGCTAGGAAGAATTAATATTGTCAAAATGGCCATACTTTCTAAGGCAATGTACAGATTCAATGTAATCCCTACCAAATTACCAACAGCTTTCTTCAATGAACTGGAACAAATAGTTTTAAAATTCATATGGAACCACAAAAGACCTCAAATAGCCAAAGCAATCCTGAGAAGGAAGAATAAAGCAGGGGGGATCTCGCTTCGCAACATCAAGCTCTACTACAAAGCCACAGTAATTAAGACAATTTGGTACTGGCACAAAAACAGACCCACAGACCAGTGGAACAGAAGAGAGAGTTCAGATATTAACCCAAACATGTATGGTCAACTAATGTATGATAAAGGAGCCATGGACATACAATGGGGAAATGACAGCCTCTTCAACAGCTGGTGTTGGCAAAACTGGACAGCTACATGTAAGAGAATGAAACTAGATCACTGTCAAACCCCGTACACAAAAGTAAATTCGAAATGGATCAAAGACTTAAATGTAAGTCATGAAGCCATAAAATTCTTAGAAAAAAAGCATAGGCAAAAATCTCTTGGACATAAACATAAGCAACCTCTTCATGAACATATCTCCCCGGGCAAGAGAAACAAAAGCAAAAATGAACAAGTGGGACTATATCAAGCTGAAAAGCTTCTGTACAGCAAAGGACACCATCAATAGAACAAAAAGGTACCCTAGAGTATGGGAGAATATATTCGTAAATGACAGACCTGATAAAGGCTTGACATCCAAAATATATAAAGAGCTCACGCACCTCAACAAACAAAAAGCAAATAATCCAATTAAAAAATGGGCAGAGGAGCTGAACAGACAGTTCCCCAAAGAAGAAATACAGATGGCCAACAGACACATGAAAAGATGCTCCACACTGCTAGTTATCAGAGAAATGCAAATTAAAACCACAATGAGATATCATCTTACACCAGTTAGGATGCCCAACAACCAAAAGACAGACAAGAACAAATGTTGGCAAGGATGTGGAGAAAGAGGAACCCTCCTACACTGCTGGTGGGAATGTAAATTAGTTCAACCTTTGTGAAAGCAGTATGGAGGTTCTTCAAACATAAAAATAGAAATACCATTTGAGCCAGGAATTTCACTCTAGGAATTTACCCTAAGAATGCAGCAGCCCAGTTTGAAAAAGACATATGCACCCCTATGTTTATCACAGCACTGTTTATAATAGCCAAGAAATGGAAGCAACCCAAGTGACCATCAGTAGATGAATGGATACAGAAGATCTGTTATATATACAAAATGGAATATTATTCAGCCATAAGAAAACAAATCCTACCATTTGCAACAACATGGATGGAGCTACAGGGTATTATGCTCAGTGAAATAAGCCAGGAAGAGAAAGACAAGTATCAAATGATTTCACTCATCTGTGGAGTATAAGAACAAAGGAAAAACTGAAGGAGCAAAACAGCTGCAGACTCACAGAACCCAAGAATGGACTAACAGTTACCAAAGGGAAAGGGACTGGGGAGGATGGGTGGGAAGGGAGGGATAAGGGGGGTGGGGGAGAAAGAGGGGCATTGTGATTAGCACGTATAATGTAGGAAGGGAACGGGGAGGGCTGTACAACACAGAGAAGACAAGTAGTGATTCTATAGCATCTTACTACACTTAAGGACAGTGACTGTAATGGGGCATGTGGGAGGGACTTGGTGATAGGGGGAGTCTAGTAAACATAATGTTCTTCATGTAATTGTAGATTAATGACACCGAAATAAAAAAAAATTAGCAACAGCACTAAAATCATGATAATCCTCAAGCCAGAGGCTTCAGCTAGGTTCAGAGTCCTAGGCAGATTTAGTCCATAGCTTGCCCATTCCACAGGCAGTCACTAGGTGAGTTTAGAGCAAGAGCAATCATTACTTGGTAGCAGGCCACAAGGACTGTAAAAGAAAATAACCTTATAGTGTTTTAATGACACCAGCATAGGCAAATTTTGTCCATCAGGTAGGATACATGCAAGAGAGTGGTCCTGTGATAGGACTGTGGCAGGAATGGGATCTCATCCTGGTCTAGTATATCAGACTTTCACCCCTCTTCCTGTGGGGGTTACTGATGGATCTACATGTAGGGCTGTGGGAGGCACATAAACTGGCCACAATGGTTAAGACAAAACTCACCGGTAAGATGGATCTTACCTTCCGACCTTTCTGGGTACACTACCAAGGTCTTTGGGGCCAATCTGCTGTTGCTCCAGAAATACACAGGAGGCCAACTTCCAGGCCTTGTTCCCAAGGTGCCAGAAGGGCCTGCCATTGTTGGTCCATGTGTCAAAATGTTCAAGGCGACATAGTCTTCAGGTTGCTGTAGGACTCAGTCACACAGTGCACTTCTAACGGGATTCTGCTGACCTCTTCAAAGGTCCAAGGCAGTCGCCACTGACAGGCTAGAGCTTACACTGTCTTCTGCCTGAGGCAGGCTGTTCTGCTAGTCAATGCACCTGGGTTACAAGGTGCTGCTGAGGCCCCAGCCCCAGCCATCTTCAGTCACATGGGCATCCAGCTCACAGGGCCCTGATGGGTCTGTTTCACTCAAGGCCTTCACGGCCTTGACTGTCCATTTTGCAACAGCAGAGATAAATGCACACGTTTCATGCCAGCCCCACCTGATGCCCTTTTGTACTAAATAGCATAAGGGCTTCAGAATTTGTGTCAAGTGTGGAATAAACACTCTCCAGTAGCCTACAAGACCCAAAACCTCTTGCAAAAATGCCAGATTTATCTGTAAGGTAGTCAGACATGAGCGTAACATCACACGCAGTATTAGACACCCGAGGGTTGTGGGGGGTACCTGGAAAACCCTTGGGGGTTTTAAATCATGGAGCATTCAGCTCCTGTGTCCATCAGGGCCAGGACACACTGCACATTAACTGGATACTAACAAACATCATTCTACATGTGGCCTCTGGTCCCTGCCACATACCCCAAGGTAGGGGCATTGACCCTCCCCCCTCAGCTGAACTGCAACATCCAATCATCGTCCTGTGGGAGTGAGGGCCCAGGCAGAGCCTGAGTACTGTCTCCGATGAAGTCTTGCAGGGACACAGGCTAGACATGGGCTTTGCCTCTGGCTTCCATATCCTGGACCTCAGCAGCTGGAACTGCTGCTCTATCTTTAATTGATGCCACAGTTCTAAAAAGATCTTATTGGGCTCCCCATCAAGTTTTTCTTTCACACCCCAGCTTTCATCAAACCAACCCACATCTGGGCCCTTGAGACCTTCATGGGGCCTTTTGCACCTCTCCTTTCAGTCGTAGCCTATACTTCCTTCCGTGCCCTTACTGTTTCAACCTCCCCCCAGATCTGCTAAAGTACTAGTAGGCTCACATATGGGTTGCCCTATGTGGGGGGCAAGAATAGTCACTAGGGACCCAAAGAGAGATTGGGGAGCTGTATGGAGCACTAGATTTCTCATTCCTACAGTGAACAACAACTCATTGGTGCCCTGAGGTGGAGTCCATATTATAGATATTTTTTATGTCCAATTCCTGCAATACCTGTTGGAGCTCTGCATACATTTTCCAGCTGGTGGGTAAGTACAGTAAATCACCCTTAGGCCAAACTGCTCTGATGGCTGCTGACAGCCAATCCAGAAGCACCTGATTCCCTGAGGTGTGATGGGCACTTTGCAACCGCTGCCAGAGAACAGTGCAGCATCAGGGAAGCCAATCTACTCATTTCTGAACCTGACAGAACAATGTTTTCCATCCCCATATCCAGAGACGCAAAAGCCACACAGGGATAGGTTATGATGGGCTCTGCCTATATCGGACACTCATGTCCACCAGCTCATCCTGGGTATGGGGGTGGAGCACGGAGGGCTCCACAACCTGGGGAGGGGGCTGCTCCTCCCCCTCAGGAGCCTACAGTTGTTGCTTTTACTTTCTTAATTACAATCAGGTGGGCCTTTAATACAGGAGAGGCTGGTGCCTCAGGCGGTGGCCTCCGCAACAAATAGGCTGTCAGCTCCACCCCCTCATCCTCTCCTGACACCACCTCCACCATCTCTGGAGCTGAAGGCACCCTCTTTCCTCCCGTCCACCATGACCTTTAGCAATGTGGACTCTCCTGCTGCCTCCCCACTCGCTGTTGCCAAGGATTTTCCAGGAGCACGACCTGTCCTCTCAATAACCGTCTCTCTTCCTTAGGGGCATCCCATAGGTCATCACCCAGCTTCTCCAAGCAATGCTGAAGTGTGTGTCTCTCCCACTGAAGTCTCTCCTTGATAATCCTCTCTCCCCTCAGTAACACTTTCCACTGTCTCAACAAACAGACCTCCTACAATGCCAGCAGCTACACGGCCACTCACGGCCTCTAAGCAATCTTCCATCCAACAGAGGGCTAATTCTGCAGCTTCCCATGTCTCCACTCTTCCCCAGTTCTTGGGAAGGCCCCATCCCTCTCGAAGGTGCTTTACTCTACACCAATTCCCCACTAGAAGCTCCCCAACTGGAAGCCCCACATATACGGGGTTCCTGAATAAAGCTTCATCCTCTACCACTTCAGCCACTGGGGCCTCCCCACCATCCCTAGAGGCAGCCCACTCAAGGGCTGCACCCATGTAGACTAATTTTGGGTTCAGAGGTCCTGCCGACTACCACCAGATGTAACTCTGGGGGGAAAATCCCAGGGCAAAATACCTCTAAAACCCAAATCAGTCAGAGAGAGAAATAAAGTTAAGAAACTCTTTTATTTCTTATAAGCAGTCATCCCGTCTTTCTCTCTTGACCTGGCTGCAGCAGGAGAGAACTTCACCCAGCCTCTCTGGTCCACATAAACCCTTCATTGGTCTTGTAATTTACCTACTGATATGGAGATGGTACTTCACTCCACCCTTTGGAAACACCTATTGCTATACAGATGCACTAAAGCCATGTGAGAGATTCTGGAAATACTACAATTATACCCACATTAGCCATCATAGCAAAGTTCAAGGTCTTTTGTTATCTATTTTATACTGGTCACTCATCCATTTATTCTCTCATTCAGCCATCATTCAACCAATTAAGGAATACTGAGCTATCATTCACTATGTTGGTACCTGGAGGTGGGGGTTACAAATATAAATACAATAAAACAAGGTATTTTCTATAGTGTTTCAAAATGTGGTAGGAACAAGACAGCAGCCTAAGTCTGCTTTAGCAAGGCTTCAGGAACTGCCAAGAGAAGATAAGGATTTAACTTAGGGCAATATACTGGGGAAAGGCAGAAAAAGGTGGAGAAAATGGTGAGAAACTATGGTCAAAGAAAGGTAAGGGCTTGCACAGACAGTAATCAGAATGCATGACAATAGAACTTGATAGTTGGGGCTCAAGTAAGCAAAAAAGATACCAAGAAATTTACTACACTCACATCAAAATTTCTGACTTTGGCAAAGAGTTGGAACATGGAATTTGAAACATGGAACAAAGGGTTGTAGCATGGAACAGAGAAAGAGAAACATATTTATTTGGGAAGGCAAGAGTGGATGGCTGAAGTTATGGGACAAGGAGTTTAAATAGACTAACAAGGCTCAGAAGAGCTCTGGAGATTACAAACCATTTGAAAGCAGTGTAGAAAAGGAGACCAAGAAGTACCAGAGGAGGAGGAGACTCGGGAGAATGCTCATAGAGAAACAAAGAAAAGGTTAGAAGAATCAAGAGAAGAGGCAGTTTCAAGAATGGAGAAGTTAACAAAATCAAATGCTGAGAAGTGTAGGGAAAAATGAAGAAGTAAAATGCATACAATGGATATGACACCTAAGAGGTCTTTGATGAGTGACACCAGAGAGGTTTCTGTGGAGTGGTGGGCTGAAAGACTGCTTTCAGCAGGCTAAAGACTCAGTGGGAGGCATGGAAGTGGAAACTTCAAGGATGGACTAGTTTTCCAGCAACCTGCCTAAAAAAGGAACAAGAAGGAAAGAGACCACACTGCTTTGCCAGTGAAAAAAATGAAACCATTCAAAAAGGTAAACAAAGACTTTTGGAATATAGAGTGTATAGGTGAAATCAGAACCAGTTAATGAAACAACAAAAACGGTGAGGAAAATATTTTCAATAGTATAAAAAACCAAAAGCAGATAAACTATATAAAAATCACAATATATGAACACTTCACTCCTATGAATCCAAAGCTGCATTTTAAAGAAAATTTTAGCATATGAACAAAGTCCATTTTTAGTCAAAGAAAAAAGATAAAAGAAAGATCAAATGTCATTATTTCTTACCAAACTTCGGTGTAGTAAAAGTGAATTCTGGACCATCCTTTCCACCTTCATCTGTGTATGCTGCCATTCGTACCATGTACAAAGTATCACTAGTCAAAGAGGACAGTGTATATTCTGTGTGGGAAGAATCCACATTCACAGCTGGAAGAAATCAGTAAGTGTGGCTTTACTCAACTACTCAATGTTTTTGTAAAATGTATTTTTATTCCTTTTTAATACTTTCACAATGTCAAAGAAGGCCAAATGCAAATAACTTGCATAACTTGACATTATATTCTTCTATAAGCAGCACACAGTATTTCTTCAATAAGACCATAAAAGCAACCAAAAGGCATATTCTCAAGTGTCTCTTTTCTGAGGAAAATACACTATATTAAGATGTGCAACACCAGAATGTAAGACTTACATTGGTATTTGAAAGTTTAAAAAAGTATATTCTTAATAACTTGTTAAGTTTTATTACCAGTTTCATTTCCAATGATGGTTCTATAAAATATAGTATAATTTCTGATGAAGCCATTCTGAACATCAACAGGAAGTTGGTCCCACTCTAAGACAGCTTCATTTTTCCCCACTTTTTTTGTCCGAACAGTAGGTCCTTTGGAAGGTGCTAGAACAGAATAGATAGTTGCTAAGTGAAAAACCATTAGAATTTAGTACTCTTTAGAATTTTGTAAAACTTCATTATGAAGAAATTATTTGTTTCAACATAGTCAGACATATCCTTATTAAATGGATAAAATGTCTTTGCTAATACAAAACATTTTTCAAGGAAAGTGAGTTTGACTTACGAGCTTGTTTAAGGTATGCCTTTATAGACTCTGGGCTTCCCGGTCCATCAGCATATACTGGAGTAACTGTTATCAAATAACATTTGCTCTCTGCTAGGTTCCCTAAAATAACAACAGTAGTACATTAAGCATTTTTCCCCATGATAGAAAACCCTAATTAATGCCATTATTTTTACATTATAGTTTCATGATCATTAAACTTTCTTTTAAAACTGCAGCTTTTAAAGTAAGCATTGCCTTTTGTGTACTGGATCCAAGCTTAATAGATTACAACTGTTTCTGAAAGTAAAAGATTATTTTTTGCCAACACAGTGGATTAAAACATGTACACTGTCAATAAAATTACTATATTTGTATTTAGAATTTATAAAACACTGATCTCAAACTATCCTGGGTCTTAATAGTTTGACAATTTTTGTACATCTCACTCAGTTCTCTGAGAACTGTCAATGAACACAACACCACTAACCAGAGCTAGGGAAAGCAATGATGGCCCTGTTTGTCATGTGGCCAGGAAAAAAAAGAATTATTGTTCTTTCTCCTAAAAAGTAGCAGTTTTAAAAGAAAAAGTTATCTTGAATACTTAATTTATAATGCCAAATGAACAAGGTAATCTACCCACATTTCTTTACCATGCAACAGAAAAATTTTTCTTTCTATACAACATCTTATCTGTCCACATCAGAAAATAAGGTGTTATACTTGAGTTTATGCCTCTGATAAGAACTTACATTTCCTTACCTATTACTCATGAAGATACGTATAGTCCTTTGTCTTCTTAAACTGAGCAATTTACCTTTCCTTTATGCCTACCTTTCCTTTATTCCTAGATGAATAATTTTAATATTCTTCTGTAGTATGTGCTGTCATCAGGACTACTTAGTTATATGGGGCTACCTGTGCAACCTGAAGATCTCCAGAGCCTATGTTTATGCTTTTTAAGAGGTTTCTGTTGTTCAGTTATCACTAATCTGTCTCCTCTCTAGCTACACCATGCTTTTAATTTGATAAGTTTAATAAACTAGACAAGTTTGCATATTAAATATTAGGTTAATGAGGACCAAACAGCCTATTTATGAATAAAGCCCAGAAACTTTATGATAGGTATGTCTTTGTTTAGAGCTTTTCTCTGATTAATCATATTATTCATAGCTTAATTCTAATGGTTATCTTCTTTACTAAGAAAATGCATACAAGCTGAGTATTTTTCTCTTTAAAGTTGTCACATCACTTTAAAAATTGATTAACTAGTGCCTTAAAACACAGAGCAATCGATTTTGAAGCTCTATATCATTACTTACTGTCCTTCATTAGATTTCCAGTTAAAAGACAAGGAAACCCAAGTTCTAATTCTGCTTCTCCTATTCAACAACTGTTAAGAAGTCACCCAGATGCTCTAGGAAAATATTTCTCACTGAAGGACGAGGGAGTTAAATGAGGTACAAAGAACATAGAACTAGTTAGGCGCAATGGTTGGATTATCTTATATTTCTTTCTTTACAGTTTCATGAGCATTCCTTTCATGATCAAAACACTGGAGTATAGAAAGATAGCATTAATCCCACTTTGTCCATATAAACAGACCCTGCAGTTAAGTGTGACTTGAGAATCACGCATCTAGTAAACTAGATGTGACTAGCAACTATGATAAATTGGACATCTTTTCAACCAACCACAGCATCTATAAAGCAGAAGAGAGTATGTAAAATAAAGATCTGTCTAAAGAGTTAGAAAAAAGGACATTAACTTAAACGTCTTCAGCCAGGTATACCTCTTAAATAGGTGTGATGTACAATACCGTCTTCTTGTTGCCAATCTGGGATACAGGGTGATTTATCTGATAACACACACCATTCAAGTACGTATTTGTTTACAGATTCATTTGGAGCGGTCCATTCTACCCAAAGCATGTTATCTTTGGGAAATGCTTTAAGATCCTTTATAGGGTGAGTAGCTTTAAAACAAAGTTTGAATACTGATGTAATAAATGAACACTTAGAAATTTTTAATTTCAGTATTTTACATTCATTTCCAAAACCATGGGATCTATCTTGCTATGTTTTTGTAGCACATATTAACATGTATTTGCATGAAAAAAGCATTTTATCATTTACATGTAATATATTTTCAAATGTAAATATTCTCAAAATTATTCAAATGTTTTATATATGTAAATTACAACTGTTTTTCTTTGAAAGCTACAGATAAACCTATTTAAGTCACAGGCATATAAAGTTCCAAAAACTTTAAAATAATATTAAAAAAATAAGTTATCAGAAAATGCTCAAATGAATTAAATGGCTTACTGCAAAGCTTAAGTGAACCATATAATAATAGAACAGACTGTCTGGCTGCTGAGTTCTAATAGCATGACTATTGCTGATACTGAGGAGACAGTCTTAGAGTAAGTATATTCTACTTACTGAAAAGATTCCTTAGCATCTTTTACAGAAGCCCTGTCCAAACCTAACTATCTTTTCCCATCCATAAGTCAGGCTTCATCTCATAGACACAAACCTTGAAAGCCATAGGGAGGGATGGTTAAAACAGATGCATCTGATTTGCCAACCAGATTTCTGGCTGTCAAAGTTGCTATGTAACGATCGTTTGTGAGGTTTACTTGCAGTTTTGTGTCATTAACTATATAATTTTGTAAACGTGATTTCCATCTTGTGAGAGTCACTTCATAATCCAAGATTTTTCCATTGGCTTCAAAAAGAGGCAATGTCTGGAATAAAATAATTTATTTAAAAAACATATTTCATAAATCTTGGATAAAGTTAATCGGTTTTACTTCGCATTCACAATTTCTGCTGTATGTCAAATCTCTTAATATTTAATTGAAAGGGACTGGCACTTCATTTTGAACTCTCTACTATAGTAAAACTACTACATACTAGTAGAGTTAAAGCATGACTTCAATTAAGGGGGAAAGTAGCACCATTCTGTTAGCTTTTAGTTCTGTATACAATTCTGCACTGTGGCTTTGTACGGCTAAATTATTTATGCCTGAGTATTTTTCTATATCTTTTAGTATGATCCCTCATGCACATTCATGGAGTGCACAACAATTTTACATTTCCTATTACTGGCATACACTTTGGTTACTCAAAACCTTTTTTGATTATTTTCTATAAGGCACTCAGGAAAGTTCAATAGAAGACAAGGTCCTTACTTCTTACAGAATTTTCAAAGAACTATGCTTAAGTATCTATGAGGTATTACTAGCAGGTTTATGAACCTGACTTCTATATAGTATAGACAAGGCTTTGTGTTTCTAGTTGTTAAAAATTGTTATCATATGCTTTGCTGATATTAAGATGAATAAAATTTTAAGTCAGACTTCATTCATAATACCATATATAATTATATAAGAGGTTAAAGTATATAACTTTACCTTCCACATAAGCTGCACAGATCTATAGCCACGAGAATGGGATGGCTCTATCTTATACCAGAAACTTGGTGCCTTGGATGGTCCTAAAGAAATGACAAACTTTTTAAAAGAAAAGTTTTTATTATGACAGTAAAATATAATCTTGGAGATGAGGTTCTCTTAGTTTGTTTTTAATATCCTTGTCCTTCAATCACACAATGTCTCTAACTTGTTCTCTGCATTCAGTGTTTGCCCACCCCAGCATGATATGCTAGACATTCCTTTAGTCGTCAGGGTGATAGTCTGACAGTTTAGATTGGAACTCTTTTCTATCTTAAAACTGTAAAGCTACAAATATATCCTAAGCAATATCCAAAGATATGTCACTATTCCTTATTGCTAAAAATAAAATTAAAAAGTCATGAAATAATACCTGCTTAAAACCCCTAAATGTATATATGAAGAATATAAAACAAACTAAATGGAGTAAATGCAGTATAGTTTTATTACCTAATGTTGGAATGATTTAGTGTAATAGGAAATAATAAAAATGAACTTACAGGATTGTTGTAATCATCCACATGAAAAAGCACTTTATAAAACAACGTATCAACTACTAGAATTAGATTTTAGAAGTCCCTTTAGAATCAACTGATCTTCAAATTTTTATAAATGTAATTGTAAAATATTGTATTCAAAAGAATAAAAAAGGATCTGAATAAAATCTAAGCAGTGATGTGTTGATCTTGAAAAGACAATTATAGATGAGGAAATTATAGATGAGGCTTGGGAAAAGGCTGCTGATACAGGACATTCAAACAGATATATACAGGGGTACAGGACTGCACCCAAAAAAAATAAAGAACATGAAATTATGAAGAACATTTTATGAGCCAGAATTATTTTCTAACATAAAGATAAACCTAGGGACTTCATTCGCTAAGTTGAAGAAATGCTTAATTCAATAGTTCTTAACTTTCTAGGTCCCCCAAGATCTCCCCAGAAAACGCACATGAACACTAAACACTATTTTTCTACATTTTTAACTAGTTCAGGAACTCCCCCAAACTGACCTAAGTACCTTTAAAAGCCTCAAGAATTCCAATTTAATAATTCCTAGCCAAGAAAAGGAATCTGGCTGAGAAACCCCAAACCAGCATTAGCAGGATTGCTTTCTTTCCTGGCAGTTATGAGAATGAGAGAAAAGTCTTAGTGGAGAAGGATACTTACCCTCTCTGCCTTTGATACTCTCAATTCATGCAAGTGCCTAAACACCTCTGGTAGACGTGAAAGTGAAGGGAAACAGACTGGAGGGGAGGTTTTAAAGCTGTGGCTGCTGCCTGTGACACCTACAGGGTTGGGGGAGGCAGGCTGTGATAGGAAAATGTTCACAAAGAAAAACCTATATGCCACAGGACTATTTCTTGATGGCTATGTAAGAAATCAGTAATGTTAAGCCACTTTGAGGAGAGAATCTTACTTTAGACAATATGCCCTTTTAAGCCTTTTGGATTCTACATTATATGCACTGTATTACCATGAGAAAAAAGGAAAATGAAAGTAAACCAACCAACCAGAACTCCAGAATCCTATCCTTTTCCAGGGGTTTATCAAGTGTGCTAGTAGAAAAAAATGAATAAAAAATAAAGCACAAATACGTTTTTTGATGGTGATGGTCTAGGGTATATTTTGCTAGACAGTGTGATTTTAATGATTAAGGTATGATTCTCTAGTTAGGGATATCTCAGGATCACTCTCCTTTAATGAAATGTTCTGGACTTATAACTGTTAATCAATAGTTTTCTCATGGTATCTGAGACACCATTCCATGGTAAGTTCCTTTAGTTAGGTATCAAAGATTTATATTATCAATAATGCACATTAAATTTTATCTTAATATTTTTAAAAATAAAACTGAAAAATGCTAGTTTGAATTAAATGACCACAAAACATGGAATGAAGTCAATATTACTAAAACCAGGCACAATTCACAGTCACAACTCCAAAAGCTTTATTTCTTCATATACTTATTTACTTACTATCTTCATATGTGATCCCACTTGCTTCTTTACTCCAGTCACTCCAGTACCCTTTACCATCTTCCTTCATACAACGAATCCTAAATACATATTCTGTAAAAGGTTTAAGGTCCTGGACAGTGAATGAAGTTCGGGTGGATGCTGTATCTTCAGATGGAATCTGAAAACAAAGCAGTCCAACCAACTAAAACCCAGTGGTATTTATTACAGGTGTTGCAAAATTGCGTTAAGATTTTAGAAACTAATTTAATGAACACAAGTTATGGAAAGAAATAAATGCAAACCAAAGAGCAGTCAAAGTAATATTAATACAATTGGGAAGTATGGAATTATATATTATCAATCCTTTCTTCCTTCCTTTTATTTATTTTTTCCATGGGGCCTTTAACAGTCAGGGTCTCAGCAGCAAAAAGACAGCACACTCCAATTAGAATTAATTAAGGGAGGGTTTACTAAAGTAAATATGGGCAGTGTGTAGGGAAACCTTAAAGACTCTGTAATCAGCACTGTGGAACTTGGAGCCGCTACCACCCTAGGCCTGAAGTGATGAGAGCGGTACCAGAACTTGGAAGAAGAGGGTCAGACTGGGGTAACCTGAGAGAAGCAGTGACCTTAGTTGAGAACTGTAGGCAGCTCCAGGGAGGAAGCAGGGAAAATAAATATGCCGATTTCACTTCTCTCTTGCCAGGCACCCCCCATTAACCAAATTCACCAGGAAACTAGAAGGAATGGAAACCCACAGATAAAATCCATTTAGGTCAGCATCTCAAGACAAAGAGTAGGGTGGAAATGGGTGGTGTATAGATCTTGATAGGCAAAAGGAAGCTCAATCAAGAAAAATAAAAGCTATCATTACAGATATTGAATTTCAGGCAAAAGAGACTAAATATAGATAAATAACTGGTTATTTCTACTATTCTGAGATTTCAACACTGAACACAAAAATAGGTGTCAGGGATTTTTTTGTATAAAGATTCTATAATGATATAAAATATTTTGAAGTTCTTCAGGTATGTACTCTCTCTGTACAACATGAAGCATTAATCCATTTTAGTGTGTTGCTTTTTCTGATTGTATTCTAAACCCTATAGAAGTGGGAGGACAGAAGCAGTAAGGTCAATGGCTCAATTCCCTCATGAGTTCATTACCACAACCAGAGAAACAAAGCAAAAACATACCGTTAGTGATAAACAGAATGACCAAAATAGTATGAAGAGCCCAATGTTATGGTGATAGCTTTTGAAGAAGTACTTCTTTGCTGACAGCATCACCATTGGGTACTGTGCTTTTCCTTTCCAGTCTTACAAGTTCCTCAACAATCCCTTCCTCTACACCTCAGGGATTGGCAAACTTTCTATAAAGGTCTAGACAGTACGTATTTTAGGCTGTGGGCTAGATGGTCTCTGTTTCAAATACTCAACTCTTCTATTGTAGCACAGAAATAGCCACAGAGAGAATACGTAATATATGTGGCTGTGTTCCAATAAAACTTCGTTTATAAAAACAGATACCCTGCAGATGCTGTTTGCCAGTCCCTGCTGTGCCTCATCCATATAATCTCTTCATTTTTACTCCTCCACTTAATTTGCTTATAATTTGTGTTTGTTTCACCTGCATCAAAAATGCTATTCCCTATCACCCTGCATCACTTTCCTGTTTCACTTAAAAGCTACTGTACTCAGCAAACCTGCTTTCTATCTGGATGTATTTCTTTTTGTCCTTGTTTGAAATACAGATCTAGAGGAGGTGTCAAGCAAAATAATTCTCCTAGTCAGAAACAAGACATTCAGAAAATAACTGAGACTTTTAGGTTAGAGAGTTGCAAGAAAGACTATTTGAACAGTAACTTTTAACTCAACTTACCTCACTCCAAGTTGATGTATCTTTGGTCCTATATTGAATGCTATATTTCAGTCTTATGAAACTCTGAACACTTGAGTTGATCCATGTCAGTTTTAATATACTAGATAGTTCCTCTGAATTGGTGACTGATAAATTATGTGGTGGATTGGGCTTCACTGAAAAGCAAAATAAATCCTGATGTTTATCATGTTTAATTTTATACATTATACAAACTCAAATATATTCTTTATATTTTATTTCACAGTATTAATTTTTCTCACCAAATGGACTGATTTTTCTCAAAATAATGCTGTACCATACTAGTATAATGGAAAGGGAAGGTTTCCAAAGAAACATTAGCTTTCCTTGCTAGTTTATTGCATTTGTTAATCTTTTCAGGTTCAAATACAAAAGGATAATACTCATGATAAATGATTTAAAAAAGTGAACATGTGCACTATAATTAAAATGCTGTAAAATGTTTGATAATTGGACGAATACTTAAAGATAACATTCTGGTCAAAGCAGCTATGAGTGTGACTGGATTATGATCATTCTCTTTTTCCAAATTATTTTTAATGTTCAAACAATGAATTTGTAAGTCATTCAGATATTAAAATGGTTACTTCTACATTAATTAAAATCCAAAAACTACTTTAGCTTATGAACTACTATGTATGTTAATAAATTCTCAAATTCAAGTTATAACTACCTTTATCTACAGGATCAAAATTGATATGATTTGATGTAACCTTCCCAAGGGCATTTTCTGTTTCTACCCAGACTTCAATGTTGACAAAATACACAGGAGAATAATCAACAGTGCATGAGGTGGGGGTGCCACGTTTTGTTTTACAATCAGCAAACTTCTCTGTTGCCCTAAATACAAAAATGGAAGAATCAGTTATTAAAAACAGATTTGAAAAAACGTGAAAAGGTTTACTTGGAAGAATTTGATGAGACTAGCTTATTATAGCTTGTAATAAATAAGTTCATTCCAATAACTATGGAATAAACTGTTGTTAACTAAAAATAAAATTTCTTAAAGACTAACCAACCATCTCTTAACACTGAGTTTGATCTGTATTTTAAAACAATCATTGAGGGGTGGGGAGAAGATGGCAGCATGAGTAGAGCAGCAGAAATCTCCTCCCAAAACCACATTTATCTATGAAAATATGACAAAGACAACTCTTCCTAAAATAGAGACCAGAGGACACAGGACAACATCCAGACCACATCCACACCTGCGAGAACCCAGCGCCTCACGAAGGGGGTAAGATACAAGCCCTAGCCCGGTGGGACCCGAGCGCCCCTCCCCCTGGCTCCCGGCAGGTGGAGAGAAGTCAGCAAGGAGGGCTAGGGAGCCCAGGACTGCTGAACACCCAGCTCCAGGATTATGGACCAGAGCACAGACACAGTGCATGCGTGGGGTCCTGGATACAAGGGAAAAAGGGCGGCAGGACCGGTGAGCGGGTGCCTGAGGGGAACGCCAGAGAACAAAGAAACAGGAGCGGCTTTTTTTTTTTTTTT